GCAAATCTGTAGAAAGAATATTAGTACAGAAATTAACAATTTTTGGTACTTTTCCATTTTGCCAGCACAAGTGATAAAGTCGCCAAAAATAGCACAAATGATGCCGAACGGAATATCCTCACTGGTAACCTTTTACAGGGTTCGTACACATTTCCTTACATGAAAATTAAGGACTTTTAAGGACCATCAAAGAAAAAATTAAGGACCTATCAGCAAACAAAAAAATGAATAGAATAAAGCAATTATCCATAAAAAACCGACTTCATGCTTGTAATTTCACTTTAAGAAAAACTAACAGAAGTGTGTATTTATGCACTATTATTAAATTCAATTTAATACTTAATACCATAAACAATTTTGAAAATTAAACTAACTCCCTAACCAGTTATGAAGTAGATAACATTAAATTAGGAACATAATTTCTTGAAAAACATGTATAAGTGTATTTACAATAATAACAGTCCTATTTTAGAGATTTACATGATTATTATTAACTTATTATTTGATATTGTTTTTAAACACAGTCAACTACTATTATAAATCACAATGTAAGAATATTTTTCAGATTAAAATAACTGATTTGTAAACATACAATTTATTTCCTTGGTTTTTGAAAGATACTAGAATAATAAACTGTACAATAAAAGATACAAAACATTTGTGCTTTTTTTAAATCTGAAATTTTCAGCTATTTTAACATCTAGTTTATTTGTCTATTTCCTTTTCTTTAACTATTCTTCCAGTTCATTTCTTTGATAAACAAAATCAATGTTCCTGCTGGTCTCAGCTTCATCTGCTAAAGCATCTACTTCTTCATTAATATCTTTAATGTCCCTTTGAAGAAATTTTTTCTTCTGCTTCATATAATCAATTTCTTCAATAATATTTCTTTTCCTCTTTGAATTTTCAGATTTAGTTAAAGATTTTTGTTCTTCTAAATACTGAACTTCTAAATAACAAACTCCATTCTTGCAGAAGCTGCTGCTGATCTCATTTCTTTATTAATTTCGATATTAAGAACACCTCCAGAAAATTTTATGTTATCAAATACTGTGCATTGAAAAATGTATGATGAGTCACTTAAATTTTCAATTTCAATTGCTTTATTTACAGAGAAGCCCTTTACCACAGACGCCTGTTCATGTGACAAGATAAGAATACTTGTTACAGTGAATATTTATTTGAATAGTGAAAATATACATTTTTTACTATATATAATTTATTTCCTAAACAATATTGATTAATTGATTATATTACCTCCTAAGTTTAATTAAAGTAGAATTATTTTAAAAGAGTGAATCCATACTGGTAAGTTATATTTTGAAAGATGTGTATATATATATATACAGTACAAAGTCCGAGATCCGGACATCCAATATCTGGAATGATCTAAAATCCGGACCTCAAAGCCACCAACTAATTTTTTAGGGCTTTTTTGAAGGGAAAGGGTATGCATTACGCACGCGCATTAGATTTTTTTCCTCATCATAAAAAAACGTGTCGGAAATCCCGATTTTTAATCTCAGTTTGGAGCTAAATAAAATATCTCATTATTGAAGAATAATTATTTTAGCATAAAATTTGTGTGATTAGTAACTTGACTCCATAGCTGGTATCTGCTTGGCATAATCTCAAACCGAAACATTTGTTAATTTTACACCAACTAATATTTTATATCCTTGATGCCGAAATCGCAAATCATTATTTATTGCATTTTGCTTTCATCACCTCATGTTTATCAACGGATGACAACTTGAGTGATAAATCATGCAGCGACGCCAAATGACAGAGTATTATCCGATTACAGATTTAAGTTTAATGCGCTAAAATGTTGACAAGGGAAGATTTAGCAGAAATTTCTTTCCTTATGCTAAGAATATATTTTGTTAATGATACTCATAGGACAAACGATTATATTTAATGCTATTTAAATTAAGAATAACTGATTTGTTATTCACATAAAGCCAGAACTAGCACCAGAGCTCGCATGGCCGCATCAGGCGGCAGAATTTAACGAAGTTAAACAGAAGTTTTTCATTGCGATGACAATGCCCAATCATCAATCAATTAATGGAGGGCGAAATCTGTAGTATGGTTCTAAATCCCGAAAATACAAACCGATAGGAAGAAAGAAAGTAACAGAGAGGTTACTGAACGAGAAAAAAAATTTTTGATGACAATTTATTCGGAATTCTCAACACAGCAATTACAGGACTTGATTGAACAATGGAACTTAATAATTGAACAAGAAATTATATGTCTATAGTACTAGTCTAAAGTATTAGCAGAGAAAACAAATCAAACAATCACATTGAAAGAAATGTTTAATAAGTAAACATATAAATATTAAGCTCTTTTTTTTGTAAATTTTGATACCCTTTAAATCATAAAAAGGCTTCATTATTTCATAAATCACGATTTTATATTTCAATTTTATAATTCTACGTGCCATCTTAGTAGATTTAAAATGATCTAATATCCGGAAAAAAATCTCAAATCTGGGATCGCCGAAGTCCCGACGAGTCCAGACCTCGGACTTTGTACTGGTAAAAATATATTATAATACGGAATGTCTATTTTCAGTTCAAACTTCTAAACTTTAGTAATTCAATGAAAGTTTTTTGTCTAGGTAAATTAGAAAATTAGTTTCAATTAGTTGTTTTCAACTTTAAAAATTAAAAAAAATTTTAATTAGTTAGTTATTTTCAACTAATAATTGTATCGCCATTAGCAAAAAATTGCATTACTATCAACAACATAGTTTTTAAACCAAATACTTAATTGTCTATTGAGCTTCAAAACGTATTTCCGACTTCACTTTTTCTAGGCTAGCGTTACCCGAATTTGCCCTTGGCGACCTAAAATCGAAATGGGCCAACAGATTTCCGCGAAATCGATAACAGACCCTCTGCAGAAAATAAACTCATAATTCCGATATCCCATATATAGTATGTGCAAAAGAGAATAAACTCCGTTCCGTAGAAGGTGATAAAAAAATTAATTTATGGCTTAATTGAAACAAACAAATTAAATTAAGCAAAACGTGTACCGTGTAAAAACAAATTGAAAATGATAAACGAAACTTAATTTTCATGTGAATTTTCAGCGCTGACTCTCCCATTCTAGAAATTTCAATTTTTTCAAGACCACATTTAAGGATTGCCATCTATCAATATCTAGTCTTTTTATTCAGCTTGATAAAGCCACAGTTTATTGAAAATGCACTTTCCAGGCATCTCGTTCCTATTTGGCGTGGAAGGCTTGTGGCCTTCCAGGTTGGAATTGCTCTAATTTTGGCAAATATTTTCAGAATCCCCCCCCCTTTTTTTTTCTCGAGGACCTTCATCATCACTTTCGCCTCTTAAAGAACTTCCGGCTTCACGCTTTCGTCACATCTGCCTAATTTATGGATAACACCGTGTTCGAAGATTGGGTGAATAGCCAATCAGACACCGATCTTTCGTTCGGTAGCTAATTGTGTTTTTTTTTTTTTTTTTTATCGTTTGCAATGCAAATCCGCCAACAGTTGGTTAAGAGCCCTGTAATTTTAATCCACATCGAGAAATCGTAATTCACACTTAGAATGGCAATCATTAGAAATGATAAGAAATGTCAAATGAGCAAAATTAAAGACCGTTTATTCATTTTGGCCAAAATTAAGGACTTTTAAGGACCAAAAATCATTTTTGAAAAAATTAAGGACTTTTAAGGACCGTACGAACCCTGTTTTACGTCTCATTTTTAAAACAAGTCGCAGCCATTTCTCACCAGATTGACTGTTTCTTTGGCTAATCTTTGGAATGTAGTAACAGGTAGTTTGGCGACATTTTGGTAAGGAGATAAAGGTTACAAGCTACGACTTTAGTAATAATTTGAGAAGTACACAGTTCCAGTTCTTTTTACCGACTTCAAAGATTCACAAAATCTTTCTGCATTTTCATGCAAATTTTTCTAATTTATGAGAAAAATTATTTACATGTTTCAAACATAAATTTGCCTTGTTAAAACAAATTTCTGTGCATGTTTGTTCCACTACATTCCGGAAAATTCCGATCATGATTTTACCTAATAAGCACTTAGAAACAATTTCGCACCTAATCTTCATCATGATTAAGGACTTTTGTTCCATAAAAGTTCTAGCATAAGCGTAATTCGACTAGCAGATTGTTAGAAAAAATGTTGAGAAAAAAAAAATGCCTTTTCTTCGTGAAACAAAATGGCGTCCAAAAAAAAACTAGCAAGTTGCTGTAGCAGGATTGGTCGCCAAATTTTCACCAAAAAATCGCCAAGTTACCATAATCTGAAGATTCACCATTTCTTTCAATACTAGCATACAATTACATATAATTTTTACCAGATTATGCCCCAAGACCATTTGCGGTAACCAAGTCAATTAGGATGCAATTACACCGCTCAGCCGAAGGCAAAAACACAGAAAAGGCAAAGTTAAGGGTTAAATTCATCAATTTCTAATGAGAATGCACCAGCGAAGTAAAGCACTGTGGTTTTACATAATTTCCGAGTAAGCTATTTGTACGAATTAACATAATTCTTGCACTTGAGCTTGTATTCCAAATTAAGATTTAACTTAAAATTAATGTAGATAATTACTGAGAGAATTAGATTTTTGCGATTTATGCGAGATGAGACCACTTGGGGTCACATGATATGAAACAGCGAATCAGGATTAAATGAATCACCATGAAAGCATAGTAAATTCTTAAATTAATGTCTTTTTACAAATTTATTGTCTTTATTATCTTTTTACAAAATTTTAAACAATATTAAAATGTTTATGAATTAAAATTAAAAATTTCATAGAACTAACATTCGTTAACAATTTTTATGTGTATACTGTGTGTTGTCGCCAATAAAGTCTGCCTGGCGAGATTTGCACCGGCGAAATGGAAAAGTACATAATTTTTTAATAACTTTATTTAAAATTAAATTTGATGCTTCTAAATATTTAAGAAGAGAAAATAATTTTAAGTTGTACTTACATGGTAGCCGATATGAAAGGCAGCATTAACAAAACTACAACAGCCATTTCCGCATACAAGAACCCTGCAACTAATGTCCACTGCAAACTCATCTTGAATATATTAACTATAAAGTACAAAAAAATAATAATTAATACACGATATGTTTACTTAACTATACATTCTTTTTTTTGGGGGGGGGTAAAGTGCAGAATCGCCCACTTATTTGTTTGGCGTTTGTTTGCCGCTTTTTACAAGAGTAAGAAGAATTGGATTTTTGTCAAATTTCTTTGACTTTTTAAGTGAAAATAGGTCGATGTGTACACAGATAAAGTTGAAGGAGTGCACAATGCCATTTTTATGCAATTCTGGTATTTTTTTAAAGTGAAAATAGGTCGATATGTACATGGATACTGAGTATGTGCAATTCTTAAAAACGTGCCAAGCAGTGGGCGATTCTGCACTTTCCCCAATTTTTCTTACCAAAAATAATTTCAATTAAAGGCATCATGCAAATTCAAGAATAAGCATCTACTTGTTTTTAAGATGAATATTTTTTCCCCTTAAGCAGCTTAACTTTTACCTATTAGTATTATAAATACAATCCAGTTATAAATCTTAGAAATTCCTTATTATAAGAAAGGAAAATACAATTCTGATTGAACCAATATTAAAATATAGTATAATTTTGCATTCAAATGAATGTTAAAATGACATTCACAAGCTTTCTTGACGCATATTAACTAAGGTGACCAGACGTCCCGATTTAGGCGGGACAGTCTGGATTTCAGACTTCATGTCCCAAGTTCCCTCGCTTGTCCCGGCGGGCAACTGTTTGTTCCGCTTTTCTGCAAAAGAGACTCTAAACGTCAATTAACTCGAATTTTCTTGTAAATGCATTACAAGGGAATGGTGTGACAAAAAATGTTGTTGATTTCTGCACAGACAACTCTAACACGAATTTCGGGGGATTAAAAAGAAGAGGTAGAAACAACGTTTTTGCAATATTACAAGATGCCCTCAGGAGGAAACTGCTAGGTATTGGTTGTGCTGCTCGTATCATTCACAATGCAATCCAAACAGCAGGAGATTGCTTTCAAATTGACGTGGAAGCAGTTATTATGAAAAATTATTATTATTTCTATATCTACACTGTTCGTGTTGAATTCGCCGTAAATGTATTAATTCGCAAAATTCTAGGTATTGGTTGTGCTTGCTCGTATCATTCACAATGCAATCCAAACAGCAGGAGATTGCTTTCAAATTGACGTGGAAGCAGTTATTATGAAAAATTATTATTATTTCTATATCTACACTGTTCGTGTTGAATTCGCCGTAAATGTATTAATTCGCAAAATTCAAAGAATTTTGCGAATTAATACATTTACGGCGTCGTTCTGGATGGACACGTTCAAGCAGCAAGGTAAGTAGAAAGTTACAAACTTTTATATTCCGACTGCCTTTTTTTTTTTTTTTTTTTTTTTTTAATTCTTTGTTCACTCTTACTCGTACTGAAAGCGCACAAGTTGTCTCAGTCCAGATCCCAAAATCCATGATTGTTGACTTAATAATTGATTCAGTCTGAGATATGGATAAATTATATTTTTTTTTCTCTCAATAGAGTCTGTTTAACACACATGCTAATTCGCAAATGATGGGTAATTCTTTACAGGACAATGTGACTTCACTAAAAATTTTTAACTCCGTATTTTCACCTTCTGAGGGGGCTTCGCCCTTACAGTAAGGGTTTTACGACTGTCGGAGGACTCTCTTACAGCAAGAAATTAAAAATAAGATGATAAAAAATATTAAAATGAACTCAATGTACTATCAAAAGAAAGTTTTAAATCAGATATTTACAGAAGAAATTTCATGTCTTTATCCCAAGGACTTTATCAAGTAAGAAAGAGTGAATCTTCATCAAGACAAAGTAACAAGTTATATTTTGAAAAATAATTTTGCAACCCATGAAAAAAATAAACGGTTGATACAGGTATTACATATATGTTCCAGATGTTACACCTATGGACCATTATGCTTTTGGTCTCTTAAAAAAAGCTCTTTTTAAGTATAAACCCACCACGATTCATGGACTCTGGAAAGCAGTGGAAGAGGAATGAAAATCAATACCACTGGAAATTTTAAAAAAGCCCTTCTATTATGGAAATCATGATGCAAACTTAAAAAATTATCAGGTCAAATATTTAAAAAATACTTTTTATTTTAAGCATTAATTAAAAGATCTCAAAATCATTTTAAAAATATGTACACTTTCTGCACAATATGAATAGAAATGTGCTGCTCACACGTTAATTGGCCAATAAAATTCATCAATGTGTTAATCATTTATATACTTCAGCCAGTTATTAAATCCTACACCTTTCTATTAAGGTACATTCACTATTAAAATAAATTAGTTTATCAAAATCAAATATATACATTCATTTAATTTATTTTAAATAAAAAATCCATAAAAATCTGCAAGTTGTCTTTTGTACATGCACTTGACAGTTACAAAATTCATTAACTATGTCACTGCTTTAAATAGTGTTTTTTTAGTAAGTCTTTTGACTCTACTTAATCCTATCAATGTAAAAGAATCTTAACAGGATTGTATAGCAATACATGAACTGATGGAAAAAAATCTTAAAAGTTTAAAATGCTAGGCAGAATGTCTGTATTGCTAGTTTTCAACTCTAATGTAAAATTAGTTTTGTTATACAGATCCAAAACCTGCGTGTTATAAAAGTTCACAAAAATTTATCAGTTTCCTTTCCAGACAAAATATATTCATTATTAACTTTACATACACAATTATTTTCATTATCCAACCATATACAGAAATAATAAAATTCACCGTAGAAGGATTTAAATACAGAATTTGAACTTCGGCAAGGTTTGCATTAAGAATGCTGCCCTAAATATCTAACAGTGGCAATGGCATGGATCCCCCTGCAGAAATAGAAAAAGACCGATTTAAGAAAACATAATTAAAAATAAAAGAAGAAAGTAAAATGGTACAACTGAAGAGAAACTATACAAACGGTAGAAGAGCTGTAACAAATAAACGGCAAGATTAAAGGCTTCAAGCACATATATGAATAAGAAAAAATTTTAAATAGCTAAAAACCCCTAGTAATATTCCTCAATTTCAAAGCTGAAAAGCATAAATGCAATTCAAGGTTAAAAATTAGCAGCATTACTAACTGCTTCCACTTTTTTAGTAACTTTAAATTAAAGCAGTCATCAAATCATGCAAATGCTGTTTATTTAAATAAAGAGGCAAACATCAAATAATTCTTTTTTTAAATATAATTAGTAGATACACCTTTTTTTCAACCACATATTAAAACAAATACTTTAAAAATAACAGTTTTGCAAGACAATACTTAGAAACTTTAATTTAAATTTCTCCTGTGTGTCATAAATATAATGCACCTGATTTGAACGCTAAAATTTGAAGGAAAATTACAAATATTTTGTTTTCAAAATAAAAAATCGTAGTAAATCTGTGTCTGAAGGAACCGTTTCTCTTTCCAAACCGGCATAAACATCAGATTTAAATATAGATAAAGTTATTCAGAATTCACATAACAAAAAAGCTGCATTAATACATCCAAAATACAATTAAAACTACGTATGCATTAATCAGGTATAAAAGATATTTTGAGTGACATCTGATTCATAAACATTGACTTATATGAAAATTTCCGTAACACATGACATTGCTAGAGGGTTACTCAATAAAAAAGTTACAGATCGCTCCCAACTAATTAATAACACAGGAATTATTTGTAAAAACTAAATTTAACGAAAAAAAAAAAAAAAAGACCCAAAGATATAAGAGGAAAACTCCTCTTTTAACGAACTTTAGAGATAACCTTCTCAAAATGAGTCAACGAAAACAGTAAAATAAATCTCACCAAGCGTTTCCTTAACAAGAGAAGGAAATACTCGATGAATCACTCTTTATACTCCTTCAGACGATAAGCGTACGTTTCGAAATTTCATTAAACAAAGTATTATTATTCTTGTCTCTAAAACAGCCAAACATTGCAAATAATATGTTATTAAAAATTAAATAAACTGAAATCGTTATTATATTTGTTTAGTGAATAAATTACATTTAATCAATGCTACAAATTTATTTTTTATTAATTAATCATAATTAAAATTAATTAATATGCATACATAAACTTAACATAAAATATCACATCAACTCTATAGCGAATACGATCAAATGATGAAAAGCCATTTCTTGTGAAACGCTACCATTTTCTGACTTTTGACTGTAATTGTAACTGAGTAAATAATTTTTTTTTTTTTTTTTCCTTAAATTAAGAAATGGGGAAAATCAAAAGAATTAAAGCGAAAAATCCTAATCGTCATAATCCCTTAGACCAAGAAATAATACATAATAGATACGCTAAATCGTCTGTTCGAATAAAAGTAAGAAAACGTCAAGAAGAAGCTGAAGAGGTAAGTGCATAAGTTCGCCATTAAGCACGTGTAAAATTTTATAAACAAACGGTAGTTTATTTTGCATTTTATTTCATGATGAGCGCTTCGAATTTTAATTCATTGTGTATTAAGGAAGGTGATTTTGTAATTGTGAAAACAGATACAGTTCTGCGACTGGTAGAATTAAAGAAAAACAAGCCTCAATTTCTCGGAAAGAGAAAAGCCAATCTGTTTTCAGCAGTTGGCCATCCGTACGGAACATTTTTTGAAATTAATTCCGATGGCACGCTAAAAAAGCTATCAAACCCAGGTGTAACGCAAAATTTGCTCATTAAAGTTGAAGATGATGCTGATATGAAGGATAATCGATCTCTGATAGATACTGGCGAATCCCAAAAACTCACAACCGATGACATCGAGGGATTCAAAGCTCAAGGTTTATCCGGTCAAGAAATGGTTAAAATTATTGTTCAGAATAGTAGTTCTTTTCAGGATAAAACTGCTTTTTCAAAAGAAAAGTATTTGCGAAAGAAGCAAATGAAATATATAAATTATGTTCAGCTATTGAAACCTAATATACGTTTGCTGGCTGAAATGTATTACGCTCAAGGTCCTTTGAAAATCTGCAACTTAAGGATAGATTCTTTGTCTCAAATGCTTGCCTTTTGCAACGTAATGTCTGGAGGAAAGTATATGATTTTAGAAACTGTTGTTGGTTTGTTAACTGCTGCGGTAATTGAAAGACTAGGTATTCATGGCTGTGCTGTACAACTGCATCTAGGTCCTTTTTCGATTCATCCGTGTCAGCAAATAATTAAGGCTTTAAATGTGCCCCAGCATCAGTTGCCGTCAATCCTGTATAATGTGGATTTGAAAAGTGTTATGGATTTATTACAAACAAAAGACAATGAAGATAACATGATTGTAGATGAAGTCGAGAGTATTGCTTTGCTCAGTGATTCACCTCATGCTGAAATAAAAAGAAAAATGGAGAAGATGGAGCATGTGCAAAAAGCTAAAGAAATTCTTTCTCAGAAAAACATGGATAGTTTACTTATAGCTATAAAAAACCATCCAGGCAATGTTTTGCCATTGTTAGATTTTCTTTCATCTTCTCGGCCATTTGCTATATTTTCAATGTATCAGCAACCATTAGTTGATTGTTATGTTGCATTAAAATCTCGCGGTGATATCATATCATTAAATATATCTGAAACATGGTTTCGTAAATATCAGATTCTGCCCGACCGAACGCATCCATGTTATTCCATGTCGGGCAATGGTGGTTTCTTATTGACTGGAATAAAAGTTGAAAGTAAACCCCAAGTTGGCATATGTAATTAGTTTCTTGAGTAAACTTAGATAAAAATTGCATTTGTTAATGTTTTTAATAAAAGTATTTTCGGCAATGTACCTGTATTTAAGCAGCTTTTATTTTTATTTTACTTCATTTAAAAATGATGCACACATTAAACTGCCTTTTTACTGTTAGGAACCATTTGAGCTTTTCTGCCAGCCTGCAAAAAAATTGCTGATTGTTATTTTTAATTTAGAAGCCATGTTGTTTCAAATATATTCAACATTGTCACTAGATAAAGATTTTGCTTTTTTGACATAGTTGCTGTAGATTAGCAACTTTTTTTATAACTTTTCCTTTAATTGTTAATATTATTATTACTCATACATTAACAACAAACAAGTCTTTGCATCTCTTAAATTAAAGAAATTAAAAGCAGTATTAAAGCTTCTTTCTTGCTTTATAAACAGTTTGGTGGTGTTTAAGGGTGTTATTAATGGAAATTTTCATTAACTTGTTTACATAACAGGTAAAAAAATTAATTTGATATTTTTGCTTAGTTTTTATTGACTTAATTATTTTGTAATTTGGCTTAAATGTTTTCAGTCCAAATCAATATACAGTCAAAAGTCGTTAATCCGGACTCGTTGGGACTTCCGCGATTCCCGATTATAGATCATCAGTTTAAATCTGGTAAGATGGCATGCAGAAATTATAAAATTAAAAATATGAAACCGTAATTTATGAAATAAAGAACAATTATGATAAAGGTATCAAAATTTACAGAAGAAAAAGCTTAATATTATTTGTTTACTTTATTAAAATTCTTTCAATGTAAGTGTTTAAGTTGCTTAATTTCAGTGATAATACTTTCTCTTTAATTCTATTAAACAGACATAATTTCTTGTTTAGTTCCAAAGTTCCGCTGTTCAAGTTCTAGGAAGCACTTCCGCAGAGAACCCGGTAAATGTAAACATCGCCAACTTTGGCGATAATAGTTCAAACCTGGTAACCCAGAGTATTTATCCTATTCACTTGTTCGAAGTTTGCAACTATTCCTCTTGCGATCAAATTTTGTTGGAATATCACTGTTGTTGTTTGCATTTGCAAATTTATATTATTTTTCTGAATTTTTTAACAACGAATATATAGAAATATTTTCGTAGATAGATGCCGGTTCTCGGTTCGGATGAAAGGAAGAAAATACGGCGGGAGCTTAAATGCTTTTGTGCTAACTTGAATTTAATACAAATTTAATTTCGTATATCACGTTTAACCGGTTAGTTTTACATCTACATGCGTATTATCTGTGAATTTTTACTACCATGTGCTTAATATATTGTTTTTCCTGCTAACTTCAATTTACATGCACTAAAAATCATGTTTACGGCTCGGCTCATCGTCGATGAACCGCGAGCTTGGCGGGTAAAAATGCAACGGCGCCAACGGGTTCTCAGCGGATGATAACCCAAGTTCTATAATTGCTGTGTTGAGAATACCGACTAATATGTCAATCGAAATTTTTTTCGTTTTCAATAACCTCTGTGTCACTTTCTCTTCACTATCGGAAGCGAATTATAATGACGAGGAACTTGATTTAATTCATATCAAAGGCAGAGTACATCGAGATGAAATATTACATTTAGTAAGGAATTATAAACCAAATAAAATAAAAACATCTGCCCTGAAGGATAGTGCTGACATATCAACTTCCAATTCATTGCGCGCTGCGTCGTTTCCCTTTCCCCACAGAGACGCGTGAAATTTATAAACGTATTTCGGAATGATTAGATAATCAAAGGATATGCCTTTATCCATTTTTTGCAACAATTCCACTTTCCATTTAATGGACTTCGAAATACTTTTGCTTGTAGATCCTTTACATATGGTAAATTATATCAGAAATTCTATTGACATAATCGAAGTTCAAGCTACTTTTATAAATTGCTCTAACAGTCTGCAAAAAATAATAAGCCGGATCCAATTCGAAGATTAAGGAACAACGCAATCTGCAACATTAACTGAATTAGATAATTTTAGCTTAGCTTATACCGTCCATTATACATTAAAACACGTATGCGTAAATGTATTGTGCGCATGCGCACATGCATATTCGCAGCCGTAAAGGTCCTACCCGCAGAAAGTTTGTAGCTTTGAGGTCCGGATTATGGGTGTCCGAATTAACGACTTTTCACTGTATTAGAAATAGAATTATGCATAATAAAACAAACACTCAGGTTATCATCTGTATTTGAAGCTTTTTGTCAATCATTTTAATGTTTGCATCTTGAATTTCATTTTTTTAATGATTTTGGGAACAAAACATAATTTTTTATTTTTAAAATATCTCTCACAGTTTTGTATATATAATTACAAAACAATTTTTTAAAAACAAAATGTAATCATGTCTAGTATTTTCACACATTAAGTTGCTAAAATCAGTAAAGGCATAAAGTTAATTTCTGTGGTTTTAAAGATTCACACCAATTTTGCTGCATTTCAGACTTTTTCCGTTTTATGTTGTTTTATGTTTGTATGCTTTTGGAGAAAGTAGGTTTTGAATTGATTTACTGTCTTTTTATAGTTAAATATTGGACTGACCTTTATAATATGATAACAGATGATTTGATGCTGGTTTTTATGCCAATGAAGGTTGTTGATCTAATGATCATGTGCAGTAATCTGAAACTTCCGGACCAATGATTTTTATATAACAACCTATGTCATATAAGTTCTATGTTTTAATAAACTAAGATATAGGGTGGTATATCTTCACCCATATTTTATAAATATTTTTAATAGTTTAAATTTTATTTGTTTTCAATCATTTTAATGTTTGCATCTTGAATTTCATTTTTTTAATGATTTTGGGAACAAAACATAATTTTTTATTTTTAAAATATCTGTCACAGTTTTGTATATATAATTACAAAACAATTTTTTAAAAACAAAATGTAATCATGTCTAGTATTTTCACACATTAAGTTGCTAAAATCAGTAAAGGCATAAAGTTAATTTCTCTGGTTTTAAAGATTCCCACCAATTTTGCTGCATTTCAGACTTTTTTCCGTTTTATGTTAAAGCTTAATTAAATGATGCATGTATAAATTTATCCCAGAAGAAATGGAGGTTGATCTTTAGATTATGGTAACTTGGCGATTTTTTGGCGAAAATTTGGCGACCAACTCTCCTACAGCAACCCTCTATTTTTTTTTCCGGTCGCCATTTTGTCTTCACGAAGTAAAGACATGTTTCTTTTCTTTTTACCTACTGAACACTTCTTCCAACAATCTACTAGCCGAATTACATTTATGCTAGAAATTTTATCTAACAAAACTGCTTAATCATGACAAATATTCACTGCAAAATTGGGAAAAAGTGCACAATACCATACTCCTTACGTGTTTTTCAAAATAACACATACACATAAACCATGTACACGTCGACTTATTTTTACTTAAAAAACATCCCAGAATTACATAAATGGCATTGCTCACACTCTTCACTATATCCATACACTGCTTTTTTCTCATAAATTAGAAAAATTTTACGAAAATACATGACAATTTTCTGAATCTTTAAAACCCAGTAAAAAGAACATATATGAAATTACCTGATCGCGAAAAAGTATATACCCTTTCCAAATATGAACATTTCCACATATAAAATATAAAATATCCAAAAACTTTTACCTCTAAATCATCGATTATATAAAACGTCACCAACGAATTCATACCACAAGCATTACAAATACTTAGTGTCAAATATTTAAATATTTCCATGCACGTTTACTTCAACTTAAACGTGTACCAAATTCCTACAAAACTATAATTCACAAAATAACTATCATTAATTAAAATATCACTAAACCATGTACACGTCGACTTATTTTTACTTAAAAAAAAATCCCAGAATTGCCAAAAATGGCAATGCGCACACTTCACCATATCCATTACACTCCTTTTTCTCATAAATTCGAAAATTTCACGAAAATGCATGACAATTTCTGAATCTTTAAACCCGGTAAAAGAACATATATGAAATACCAATAACGAAAAGTATATACCCTTTCCAATATATGAATATTTCCACATATAAAATAAATAAAATATCCAACACTTTTACTCTAATTATCTATTATATTATAAACGTCACCAACGAATTCATACCGCAAACATTACAAATACTTAGTGTCAATATTTAAATTATTTCCATGACGTTTATTTCAAACTAAAACGTATACCCAATTCCTACAAACATAAAATTCACAAAATAAATATCATTTAATTAAAATATAATTAAATTCAAAAACACTACTTAAAATAAATAAGCACATACATTAAATTATTAAAATTAGCTTACAATCCTAATACTTTAAACGACATCATTGCTAATACAATTTTCCCAATAATACAAATTACTTTACTTCCACCTTACATTTAACATGCATAAAAATAATATCCTCAAATAATTAAAATACTAACTTACCTAATCTTCTTCAGAATCTTGATACGTGTCCGAATAAAACTTTTCTTTTCCCTAAACAAAAAGCAAAGTATGTGCGCCTGTTCAGGATCTTAAAATCATACTTATAGTTCACACGGGGGTACCAGGTAAAATAAATAACTTAATAAAACATGTTTACTTCTATCTCGCACAACCTTAAAGAAACACTTATACTACCCCTTTCAATTCCACTAAATACCCATTTCGAATTACTTTAGTTAGGGCAGGATCAAAAATTAACGAACACTGTTTCACACAACACAGAATAAGGCCAAATACAAATTTCCAGATTTTTCCCGATTTCCCCCTTTCCGATTAAAAACCAAATTCGTCCATTAATATCACATGACATATCCCATGATCTCTCATCCCTAGGAAAACTAGGTAAACGAAGAATAGCTAATCATTGCGAATTGGAATATAACTTTGCACTGATATATGAAATACATCTAGGCTACCCCTAGTAACCAAATCGTCATGTTAGTCAGTTTTGTTGTTTCAAACGATCATTTAGTACTAAATTTAATAAGGGTGGACTTTAATAGTGGCAACTATTTATTTACAAGGAATACAAAAGTGATTCATGTCACCATGTTTTACAGTCCTTCAA